TATTAAGAATATTTAATATTTATTAAAAATATTTTATTTTAGATTTAGTTTTTTAGAGTATGTAAGTGTATACGTTCTTCTAGGTAGATAATATTTGAAACCTTCTTTAATCTAAAGATCTAGAGTTAACTCTATAAAGGATATAATATAGGTTTTGTAAAAGAAATTGTATCATACATTCAAATTGAAAATGAAATTTTTGTTTGACTGGAAAGAAATCAATATAACTACTTAGTTACCAGTAAGATTGTCAACGTATCCAGTCCAATTTATTTAATAGTTATGTCTTAAAAGTGACGGGAATTTGTCTATTGCTATTTATTTCGGTTAATGTTTATAGCTTATTATCAAAAAGTTTATTGTTGAAACTCCAAAATGCGAAAGTTTCATTATAATTATCGATTATATGTTATGTGTAGGTGAATATGACTAAATTCACTGACCCATTTCATCATTTAAGTGAACGTTCAAAGTTCATTTACAAAATTTTCATATTTTTAATTTTAAACTGAGATAAACTTGCATTAAAAAGGTAGAGGTAGATAGATATGACTATATTGATTCGATTTGTGAAATTTATCAAAAAAAAAAATTAATTTTATAAGAGTACAAAACAATATTATATAAATAAATATTTATACAATATACATAAATATTATTATTTATTTAATACAGACCCTTATCTGCCTTACTGACTTAAAATAATCTGGAGAAAAATGTATATGTTTGTGCTTTGATGGAAGATACAAAATGTGGTTCTTATGAATTTATTTTTCGGTTCTGTTGATGATATATAAATGCTTAGATGATTGGCGAGAGTTTAAGTTCCACTCCTAGCTTAATTTCAAAATTTATTGACTGTATTTTTTCTAAAGTTAATAGTTAAGGATGCATTTACTTCAAAGTAATTAAATTTACTATGCAGTTCATCAGTTGTATCTCGAATAATATTGGATAATGTCAATCCAATTTAATCAATATCAATAAATATTAATCCACTTAATGTTTTTATAACTAAGTTGATTTTATTGTTCCAGTGGAAATCTGTTTTTCTTTTGGTACGCCTTTTTGACAAATACTGAAATTTTGACGAGAGTGGTACGTACCATTTATTCGCAAATGAGAAGTAGTTCCGATTTATAATACCTCCACAAATTTTATTTAAATTATTTTTAACTAATGTGAGATAAATTAATAATTTTCACAAAAATCATTTTTTTTTATTATAAAGAGTCCAATTAAAATTGCACAATTGTTTTAATAACAGAACAAAAAATATATCAACACAACAAATAAGAAAAGCATACATTAAGCTAAGAGAGCAATTCAAATGTTTAGTTCTATAGATATAAGTGCTTGGCAGTTGTCTCTCATAGAGTTCCGTAGATATAAATGTTTGGTAGTTGTCTCTCATAGAGTTCTATAGATATAAATGCTTGATTGTTGTCCCTCATACAGTTCTATAGATATAAATCTTTCTCAGGTTCGCTCAATTTCAAGTAATCAAATTATATTCCAAGATAATCGTAATTACGTTATTTAAACGGATTGATACATGAATAAATGTTTATTAAGTGTTAGCTGTGCTTAGAGTTAACTTCAGATACTTTTTAACGTAAAAAGTAGAAAGTATTAATTACAGTGCTAACAAAAACAAAATAAAAATAATATAAAATATAGCAATTTATGCAGTACGAAGAGATGATCAAAGTTCAAATAAAACAAGGAACGCTTGCTGGCGTTCAGAAATTATTGCCCAATGGAAAACCATTTAATAGTTTTCAAGGAATACCATATGCAAAACCACCAGTTGGAACGCTTAGATTTAAGGTAATTTTAATTTTAATTTGTTAATTTGTATTTTAATTATGTTTTCGACTTGGATAGTCACCTGTGGCGCTTGAACAATTTGAAGTACAAGAATTGGATTGTTCTAAAGAACGCGACATATCACATCATCGTGATCCTTTTCTTCAAAAAATTGTTGGTTCAGAAAACTGTCTTCATTTAAATGTCTATGCGCCTCAATCAGCTAATGAAATACAGTTGCCAGTTATGGTTTGGATACATGGTGGTGGCTTCTGGTTTGGTAGTGGAAACAGTGATTTGTAAGTTTTCATTAATTTAAATTAATTTAACTAATAATTTATCCGGTTTTCATTATAGTTTCTATCCACTTAAATTAATGGAACATGGTGTTATTGTTGTCACAATTAATTATCGTTTAGGACCATTGGGATTTTTAAGTTTACCCGAGGAGGGCATCTATGGCAATGCTGGATTAAAAGATCAAGTAAATAATAAATTGTGATCCATTAAAAACTCATTTATAATGTCTTTGTTCTACTAATACAGCGTCTTGCTTTGCAATGGGTACAGGAGAATATTGCAAAATTCAATGGTGATCCAAATAATGTAACAATATTTGGTGAAAGTGCAGGAGCAGCTTCTGTTCATATGCATTCTTATGCCGATCATGCAAATAAATACTTTCACAAAGCTATAATGCAAAGTGGTACGGCTAATATGGAATGGTCATTCCAATCGAATCCAGGCTATAAAACCCGAAAATTAGCTAAATTATTAGGTTGTGAGTCGAATAAAACAAGTGATATACTAACATTTTTGCAATCAGATGCCGTAACTGCTGATAGAATATTGGCTTGCACACTTGGCGTACTAACAGAAGATGAACGACGGCGTGGTCTTCCATTACCTTTTAAGCCAGTAGTTGAAGATAAAAATAGTCCTGACATATTTATCAAAAAACCTATATTAGAAAGCCTGCAGGAAATGAATGTAGTGAAGGTTCCAACTATAATGGGCTATAATTCTGCCGAAGGTTTAGCTATGTTATTCAATGCATTACGCAAATTAAATGCTATAGAAAATGACTTAGAACGGTTTGTACCACGTGATATACCATTGCCAATAGATAGTCCTGGTATTAAAGCCATTGCTAAGGATATGCGAGATTTTTATTTTAAAGGTGGAATTATAAATGAAAAATCCTTAAATGAACTCGCGAATGTATTGAGTGATTATCACTTTGTGGTTGACATGCAGCGTGCCGCAGAGTATCAAGCCCGTTATCAAACGAATGCACCATTATTCTTTTATCGTTTTAATTATGTTGGTGACCACAATATGTACAAGCGAATATTCCAATTCGAGGCACTTAATGGATCATGTCATGGTGATGAGTTATGTTATATTTTTCAAACAGCTGGTGATAAAACTACTTTAACACCGGACGATGAAATATTTGCCAATAAATTGTGTCAGCTTTGGACAAATTTTGCAAAATATGGAAAACCAACTATTGATGATGCAATCAACTGGAAACCAGTGACATGTCCGGAAACGGAAGATAGTGAATTCGTATTAGATTATTTATCTATTGATAAACAATTTGAAATGAAAAAAAATCCTGAAGAAAATCGTATGGATTTCTGGCGCAGCATCTACCAACATTATGACAGAATCGATTACTCTAGACTAAGCGCAACGGTTTAATATAATATGTATATGAAATTGTAATGAACAATGAAAGTATTCGATATGGAAAACATATGATAATTATAATTATCTTAATAAATAAAATTGTTTCTAATTTACTTCTATAATGTATATTAAGAAATTAATATATTACAAAAACCAAAAATCTGTTAAATACGTCTTTTTTTTAATACTATTTACTTTTAATACTGATTATTCCTCTATCTTAAATAAAATATGTAAGAAGTATTACTTCAAGATATAAGAAATTAATTACCTGACCAAGTTACCTTACTTTGATTGTTTAAGAATACAAATATTTTATAGAGCACTTAACACTATGGGAGCTGAACACTGGTTCAGTAAACCCGCACACGTATTACTTAACATCTATTAAGTACAATTCAGCAATAGTAAACTTTGAGTGGATATGATTAGATGTATTCTAATTATTCTATTCTAATCAACAATTTTTGGATAGAAGTTTGGTTGAACTTTGAGATGTGCTAATCCAAAATAATTGAATTTTTATGTCATTTAATATTTGGTTCGAATATTGCTTAATGTCTGTATGAAAATTATTGGTTTAATCTGGTATCTAGTGTTATTCAAATATTTCTCGAATTTAGTTGAATTATTTATCGCATACCATTATCATAATTGCAAAATAATAAAAGGATTATATTAGCACAAAAAGATGTGATTATAAAAGATCTAATGTATTTAAAGACTGCCATAAATGCATGGAACTACGATATCCAGGATTTAGCTTTGGTATAAAACCACGCTTCAAAAATCTTTAAAAAATACTTAATAATTCTATCCCAGGAATAGAGATTTATACCAACCTAATAATTTTTTTTTATATATAATTGATGGAGATTATATAGTTGCGAAAAAAATGTTTATTTTAACAATTTGCACAAACATTTATCTCTATATGGTATCGATTGAGAATAATAGGTCTTTGTGTGGTTTAAAGTCAGTCAGATTAATTTAACCTAGCAAGGATATTGTATCATGAATATGTGCGACAATGTGAGCCGGGTGCCTGTAAACAGTTTAGCCTTTAGAGTTCCTGAGACTGTTCTTATGTTATGTTATCGATTTGCTTAATCTGACAACTGTTGAACCACACATGTGTACCATATTCGTTGAGTAAACTGAGTAGATAATTCGCTGAAGTACCCCATGAGGTCTCTGCCAGTTTTGGAACACTATTGTTTCTTTCAAGTTATTGTCAAGTACTTTTGACTAGCATTGTGTTTGTGTACATTGTCATTAAAATTTATTTGTAGGACCCTTTTTCTCTATATGGTAAAACTTATTTGCGAATGGTGAAACACAAGAGTAATCATATAGTGATACTTAGCGTTGTCGTATTTTATTTAATGTTGTGGCTATATTTGATTTTTAAAATTAGTTCTTCATAACGTTTTACAAATAAATAAATAATATACATTTTATTTTACATTACTATTTATTTGACTAGTATTTTCACTTATAACTAAAATATACAAATAATTTATAAAGAAATTTGAATTTCCTTTGTGACAAAAAGTACAATTTAAGCAAATCCCAACTTAATTATTTAATTTGGTTATTCAATTTAAAAAAAAAATTATTTTCTTCTTAATGTAAGTAAAATAAAATTTATAAATACAAACGACAAAAAAAAAACTACACATTCAGTTAAGAGAGAGCAAAATAAATGTTCTATAGTACAATTCTATAGAAGTACATGAATAACATACATACACACACACAAAAATACATTGTATACATATTCATAAAATTGGGATTCATTTTAAAAACAAAAACTTTACCAAAGTCACCTATATACATATAGCATATGGTATATTTTGTAGTCATGTTACTTTATCACACATACATTCCCTATCAATGATGTTCAATAAACCTACGGATAAAGCTTATTTGAACAAAAACAAAAACAAAAAAAAAAAATTAAAAACGTTTTAATGCAAACGTTCTCTTAAGATACAAACAAATGGCTCGGTGTATTAATTCGTACTGCTCCGAGTTCTGAACCATCCCGCCACGTTGAAGACGCAAGTTACATACTATGCCCAATATATCCACAAAGATGTCTGGCAATTTTGCTAAAGATGAGAGTGAGGGCAGTTCATTTCCGGTGAAATGATTCGGTCTGATTTCAATTATCGTTTCTTTTTCCTCTTTCTTGGGGACCTGTTTTGAGTCCTTCTCTTTATAATTCAAAATATATTTTATATAAAGCAATGTATTACGCGTAAAATTGCTATCAGTATCATTACTCATTTGGCATATGTCTCCACTTTCATTAATTGCATCTATAAAACATTTCGGTAGACTAAAATCTACAGGGCTAAGTACTTGCATTAATGCAGCCTCCTTTGTGACCGCAGCTGCCATTGAAGTCAATGAATAGGCAAGAGATTGACGTAATTGACGTATGCCATTAAGAATTGCGGTTAAGCAACCAGTGCGACCAATACCAGCAGAACAGTGTATCACTGGAAATGGTTGCATTGAGTTAAAGATATCCTGTTGATATAGAGCAACTTGTTGTGGTTCTATATGTATTTGTTGAGTCGGTGTTACACTATCTTCGCAGTATGTTTCGAATTCTTTCTCACACTTGCCCAAGTTCAATAAATGCAAACACATGTCAACCAAAGTATTTACGTCTCTAGGTGAGCGATGATCCGGCCAATCGGGATACCAATAGTGATAACTATAAAACTTCTGTATAAGAAGTTTATTACGGTTGACATTATAGTCCGGCAAATGGTAATTGAGACAGTAGAGTATAACAAATTTTCGTATAGAAAATCCGTTCTTTTTAACAATTCCAATATTTTTAATTACGAAAAAGTTGGCAACGCGTGGGAAGAACGCATATATTTCATCATTGAGGTCCGTCTCAAATGATTCGAAACAAACGCTTTGTTCCGCAAAATGCGTTTTATTTGGATATGGTAATTCATCGTTTTGATTTAAAAATGGTTTCAAAAACTCCTGTAGTTCTTTATTTGCTGTTACGGTCTCTTGTTTATTTGTAGTAATAAAAATTTCATTTAGTTCCACTGGAAAGTAAATAGCGCATTTTTGACGATTATTTTCCAAGAAATTGGTTAGCATCACGATTTTTTGAAAATACTGTGGTAAAATGTGATTCTCTTTGATGCCGGTATGAGTGGTTATAGTTCTATCTGAAACATGTATATGTTTTTGTGTGTTTTGATAGATCATAAGCCAAAATTCGAAGGTGGTATTTGGTAAAGGACCTTGGGTAGCTACATAACCTTTAGATGTATAATCTGGACCCTGTAACAAAAGCAATATTTTACAATAAATTATAAGCTATAAATAACTTTATTACCTTTATATAGTTGGCATTAATGTATGGAACTTCATCTGTTGTATAGGACAGCTTTGGTTCATCCGTCACTAACGCATCATCGATATCTTTGGGTATGGGTATTAGTTCTTTTTCTAAAATAAAACGTGAATTTTCATTTGGTAAAATTGTTTTATATCTATTTTTAGCTTGGGAACCAAAAACCATGGGTTTTTCCTGATGATTTAATGGTAAGTCCCAGAATTCCTTGTGCAATTCCCGAAATAAGCGTTTCTGTTCAAGATCATCCGGTTTTATATTTTCTGAAATAGTACTGATCACATCTTGGTATCTTGTAGCTACTTCACTATCTTCTGAAGTGGATAGTAGGCCACTAATAGGAGTCTCAGTTTCTTTGTTGTTATGGTGTGCACTTAAAACAGGAAGTTGATGTTCAACTATACTTTTACTGTTAGTTGTGTAACTGCTGTCGAATAAATAATTGAATTTAATAAGATCGATTTGGCTCAGTGCATTTGACGCGTTTTGTAGCATCTGTATATTTGCAAGATACATTTTAAACTCCTCACTAGTGGTTTGTGGCGACAACGGACGTGTCATAATATTTCGTACCCCCGTGCAATTGCATACAGTGCTCTCCTCAAAATTAAAATGATCGCGCTTGGTATCTTGTGCGTGTGCAACACTGGGATTTAGGTCTGAAACTGAACCGTAGCACACCTGGTTGGCATCACGTTTGTGCGCTTGGTTAAGGTCTGCAAACTGTTTGTTACCTTTGTTAAGATTTTCGCTACTGAAAAATTTTCGCTGATGAGTTTCAGCACAGCAGTTTGAAGGCAATTTTATTTGAATATCTGGTTCGATAGCAGATGAATCACCTAAATACAGGCTGCGCTCTGTGCCGCCTATACCACCGAATGAGCTACTCATATTTAGTGTAAGACTTTGATTTGAACCTCTTCTCTCAAGTAAACCGCCACGTTTAGGTGTAGTATTACTCGGTGTATTGTTAGTTGGTGTTACAAAAGAGGTTGTTCTAGTAACTCCGCTTGTAAGGTGCGTTTGACATCTATCTACGTTTAGAGAATTTTGACTGACAAAAGTTTTTAAGTTACCGCAAGAAGTTGCACTGAGATTATTCAATGTAAGACTGTGATTGGAACCCCGACGTCTGAATAAACTTTGTCTGGCTCCTTGTGTGGTATTTGAGTTCGTGTGTGTAATATTCAAAGGATGTGGGGTGCTTGAAACACTTTGATCTAAATTATAACTTGATTTAGAGTTGAGATTTGTTGTAGAGTTTCCAACAGAACCGAGACTATAGTTTGATGCACTTAAACCAGTACGGCAGCTGCCTAAAAGATTACTACACGAGCCGTGTAAGCTTAAGTTTAGAGTGAGACTATGATTGGATCCTCTGCGTTGAAGTAAATTTGTAGATGAACTTGAATTTGTGTTTTTTGTGCGTACAATTTGTGGTTGTGCCAAAGTCGTTGGCAGATCCATTGACTTTTGTTTTAATGGAAAGTCACAACTTTTCGGACTAGAAGTGAACTCCACTAAAGTAAGAAATTCTGGTAGGGTTTTTAAGTTTGTATTTGATGCATGCAAAATAGGGTTCGGCTTGTGTAACCCCCTATGGACATTCGTTAATGAATTTGGTGTTAACGAATTATTGGAAGTACTTTGGATATGTGTTTGATATATTTTTTTATTTTCGCTTTCATCTATTTGCACTTCATCATCTTCCTTTAATATTACAACTTTACTCATTAGTTTTTCATTGTTACTTATGTCCGATAATGATTTCTTTGAGGTTTCTATGCATAAATTTTTACGATTAAATGGTGTAAAATCTGATGAACCTGGTACTCGACGTCGCAGACTTCTGGAGAAGCTCGTACCAGTAAAATATTCAGGGTGATGAGAATAATGTAAATTGTGTGTATCTCCGTATGCAGATAGCTGCGATAATGAAGTTGAGCGATTTGATGTGTTTTGCATGTTAATTTCAGGTCGTAGCCTATCGCCACTACACCGCAACTGCCCACTACTTAATTTTAGTGGTTTTGTTTCAAATTCATTAATATGTGTTTGACTTCCACCAGATACTACAATTCTTAGTTCAGATTCATTTACAGCTACTGCTGCTGCTGAATCCAATGAGAGAGCCTTTTCTTTTGTGCTTTTTATTGTTGGTGTCTTTGGCTTGGGAGATGGCGATGACGGTTGTGGAGCCTGATTGGATGGTATATCTGTTATCTTTATAGTCAAATTATTCTTATTTTTACGATTTTTGCGAGAGTCAGTTTTGTGGAGAGTGAAGGATTGTTTAATATTATCTGTTTGCTTATTTTTAACTAAATCATCACTATTAGATTCGAGATTGATGTTTTTATTTCCTGTATATTCCGTATCATTAACGTTGTCCATTTCTATGCTTGGAGATTTAAATCTTGATTTTCTATTTGCCATATTTTGCTTAGAACGTAGTTGATTGTCACGGCAAGTACCATTTTCATCTATTTCTATACTTTGTTCTTGTACAATTTGATCTATTTCCGGAAATTTGAAGTAATTGCCATTTTTGTAACCAGCTGAACTGATAACACCTAAAGGCGATCCTCCAAGACTAAGATTATTAATAGAAGATAAAAGTTTCGGTGAGAAAGATAATCGATTACTTCCAAGCATAGCAGCCTCATGCATTGGATATATTTTTGGTGAGCCGTTTTCATCAATCAGTGGAGAATTATTACCACTACTGCATTTATAAATATTTTCATCATGCTTATCTTTTAGTTTAGGTATTGTGTTTTCTTTATTAGCAACAAATCCGTCAGCTTCCATTTTACTTTCCACTGAAGCAGTATGCTTCAAAACTAAGTTTTGTGGAGAACAGGAACGTCGTTCGTAAAGAGAAAATCGTTTATACTTATGAGTTACCACAGGTGAAGAGGATTGCACTTGTTTAGCTGTTACAACCGGAATTTTTGGTGTAGGTATTTTTTTCATATTTTCAAAGTCAAAACTTTGCTGTGACAATTCCATTGCACTTTCGTCCAAAGCTAACTTACCAGCAACAGAACCAGTAGATGAAGCAGCTTCTTTACTTTGGTTTAACTTATCTGTATTGGGTGAAGGAAAGTCGAATGATCCTTGTAAAAAATCCAAAGGTGTAAAATATGGTGTACTTTTATTACTTTCTGTGATGTCATCATCGTTTGTGGGCAACGAATATTCAAATGCTGTGCGTGTCAATTCTTCAGTTGTCGAATTATGACTTTCTAAAGTCGTATTTTCGTTATTTTTAAAATTTTCCATTGCAACTATTTTAAAATAGTGACAAAGAGAAAAATTCGGTCGTTATCAATTCTCGGGTATCCATATTTAATATATTCCTGGAAAATACATAAATTTATAAAACTATTCAGCCTTTTTATTGCTTTCACATACCTTAAATTTAAAATATGATCTGCAGCAGGCAAAAAATATTTTCTGGAATACAAAAAAAAGGTATTAATTCTGAAAAATGTTTATGCTCTAAATACATTCAGGCAAAAATTGTATTTTTCCAATTACATACATTTATAAATGTGTACATATTAACGCCAGATATGCAAAAAAAAACCTTTTTCATATCAAAATGCAACATTTGCAATAATTTTTACATTTCTTAATTTTGTAACTTCAAGTTTCTTTCTCTAATTAAATTTGTTAGCATTTTGTGTATATGTTGAAAATGAAATGAGGGAGAACATACCTATATTATAGCTAAATCCAAAAATATTTACGAAGTTAACCATCTTGCTTGTTGAATTTATTGTTGATGTGCGCTCATTATTTTGATTTGCGTTAACATTACTAATATTTAATTTTATAATTTACTCAAGTGAGTCTCAAAGTTATTAAAAGTATATTTTAATTTGACAATTATGCCCTACTTTTACACACAGCAGCGACGTTGTGCGCAGTATTCTGGTATAACTTATTTGTTTTATTCGTCTTCGAACACATAATAAACACTCCGTGTGGGAAGTAAATCATAATAATAAGAAAACGTCAAACAATCAAACGACAAACTAGTGTTGTAAAGCGATGTATTCAGTAGCAAAAAAATATTTGCAACTTACAAAAGAAACTATGTGAAGCAACAACAATGCTTTTAAAATCTTTAAAGTTCGCTTTTACTCGCAAAAAGTTTTACATCTTAAGCTTTAGTAGTTAAGTTTTAGGAGTCAAATTCAAAAATTAGTCTATTGTGAATGTTCACTGGAAATATGTTGTAAAATTGTAGTCATCCGGATTTCATTTACTAATAAATTCAAATACATAAATAAATTAATTAATTTGAATATATAAAACAAATATGCTCATTATAGCCCTTCTAATAATCATTTTGTTTTTTTTTTTTATTATAATTAATTAATTTTCAGTGATCACAATTTTTATATTTTATATTGTACACAACACAACACAAAATATATGTAAAAAAAAGTATTTAACATATTTTAGAAGTGATGCTAATTTGTTTCAACTAAATCAGGACTGTCCAAAGTACACATGCTACCCACGGTTAATTTTTATGCGGCCCGCAACATGTTTTTAATCTATTACAATTACACCAATTTTTTTTGATGCACTGGTAAAACTACATTATTTTATTTTTATGGTATACCAAATAAATGAATTTAAATTGTTAAATTAATAGAACTGAATTTTACATTATAACCATATTTTTATTTTTGCCGTAAACAACTAAGAACGTATATATTTGATTCTGTGGCCATCCAATCTGTACAGTAATTTGTATTGAACCACAATCGCATCTGGTCTAGAGTGCCCTGAATTAGATAATACTACGCGAGACATTGGCATCACTGTTGTAATCTGACAAGTGTTATGTTTTGACAAATAGCAAAAGTAGCACAATGCAAGCAAATTACGTTGTTTATAAAAATAAATAATTAACATAATTTAAAAAATAAATTGAATACAAAATAAAAAGGAACGGTAAAAATGTTGAAAATTTCAAAATAAAACATTTAAATTTTTCTTTTTTCAATTATCAAAGTTATGAAATTTTTGAATTTGGTTTGAATTTTTGTTTATATCTGATTTTTGACATATTTTGCATTTTCGTTGGAATATCAAATGAATGTTCACAATAGTTCGTTTACTGTGTTAGTAACACCGAAGTGTATTGCTAGTATACAACAAGATAGAGAAAATAATGTTGTTGTTTTACATACATTTCGGCCAGTCTAGGCTAACAACTTTAAGTTTTTTGCCATACTTGCGAGCCATGAAAAGGCCTATAGATACAGAAAATTGTATTGTTGTTTTGCGTACATTTCGGTCAGTATAGGACAGCAACTTCCTGTTTTTTGATATGCTTGCAAGACCACCGAAAACGTCTTATGTTCTTTTGTGGCAAAATTCAATATTTTCCAAATCAGTAAAGATATTAAAATTAAATTTCTTTTCAAATAATTTTTGATTAATTTTCTTTGGAATATTTTTTAAAACCATTCTATTTGAGCCTAAACTTTCTGTTTGGGCAGATGTACATGCCATTTGTACATTTTACAGCACTTAACGATAAATTTTTATTTGTAGAATTCTACCATCTCTAACTGTCAAATGTAAATGTTTATTTTGAATTATTATTTACTTCACTTCTAGTTCACAGAAGCATGGCTGATAGATTTCTTTATACAATATAAGTATTTAAATATAACAATAAATATATTTATACAAATAAGATGTCGGTACAAAAAAATTTACGTTCTCCAAAGGAGATAGAAGTAATTGAATATCCTGGTAATGTTGTAAATGTAGACAAAATGCTTGCTACACTTGGTGGCATTAACAAAATTTCACAGGTAATGAATATGAGTTTTATGGTATATTATAGTTATGGTATATTATTAAAAATTATTTAATATACATTTATCAATCTTAAACATTCAAAGTATTTTACAGGTAGTTTTTCGATAGTGATTTTATGAAATTCGAACCACTTAGACTCAATGAACAAATGTATTTCTGTATATGTTATGATATAAGTATGTTTTTATGTTATATAATGAATTATATTATATTTATTAATAGTACAGTGTATGGTTTTGTATACGGAAATCTAGTCCCTAGTTTTCAGTTTATATACAACATATGTCTATTTAAACAAATAGTCTTTGAGTGAATACTCTTTTAAGTGGGCACTCTTACAAAAGGGTCTTTGTCTTCATCTTGCAATGTTGCTAGTGTTTTCTTTTTTCATACAAATTTAGTTTATATAACGAATTGTTGTCTTAAAGGGATAGAAGTGCAGATGGTGTTTGCTTAAGAGAATTTTCATTCTTTATGTAAAATATACAAAACTGTTTAAGTATTTAATTGCACTAATATTATTATATATTTTTTATATAAATAATTTTTATTCCTTATTTATTTTTTAGGCATTAAGTTCACAGAACACTGCTTTACAACTCAAATTTCATCCAGAAAATCCTTTTAATAAGCCAGTGCTCTGTGAACCTGTTGAGCATACTGGCTTCTTGCTTAGTGTAAAAGTTCGTCGTTCTAAGCGCGATAAGACAAAACCACCAAAATATGAAGTAACAATATTAGGAAATACTGTCAGAAGCTTTATATTTGAAAGTACTTCACTTCAAAATACAATAACAATATAGTACAACATATCTTATTAAAGATATATTTAATTACAGATCTCTGCGATTTTCAATACTTACCTTTAGTAAAAGATGATAAACAAACATTAACTTTTCATAAAGGTTTGGTAATCTCGAAATCTGTAACCGATGTAAAATACCTCGAGTGAGTAAAATTACAATTTCAAATAATATTCTTAGTAATAAAAAAAGAAATTCAATTTAATTTATTTTTGTCCACAGCAATAGCAGTTTACCAGGCCTTAACATACCAAATGTTTTTGCACGATCAGATGTAGTGCAAATGAATTATTTCCGTAACGAACCAGTAGGCGATGGGCAAATGGATGCTTTGGGTGTATTACAGAAGACTATATCCGATAGTCGTGATGTGATTAATTTTAGTATGGTTAATCCTTTCCCAATACAACCAGACACACAAATTCTGAAACGAATGCGCGTAAAATATGTTTCAGATGAGCAGTTTATACGTGTGAAAAATGTATGAAATAAATATATTTTTTAACTTAAAAATATATATAATATATATAATCATTATAGCTTTTCGAGGAATGTCCTATATGGACACGTATTGCTTTAATATATGAGAGTGGCGTTTTAAATGATAAACTGAAGTGTATAACACCTTCGCTTGCTTACTATTTTGCGAGTGGACCTTGGCGTACACTATTCGTGCGTTATGGTTATGATCCACGGAAAGATTTTAATAGTCGTTTCTATCAAACATTTGACTTCCGTATGAGATTTCGCTCTGGTGTATCAGAATTCGTAAGTTAAACGTGAATAATATAAAGTAAATTTTATTAAACTTATTTTGGCGCAGTTTTCACAACTTTCAGATAAGCGTAAGAATAAACGTACAACAAAAGATTTAACAGAAATGGAATACGATGATGAACAAGATGATGTTACTTCTCTAGCAATAGATGCTAATTATCCATATTTAGATGAAGATAGAATGCCACGTTCCAAACAGTGCATATTAAGGGTAAGCAATTTATTTTAAAAAATATATTTATTTTTATTTCTTGGTTTCTTTTTTTTTAGTATCGTGATATTCACATACCGAGAATACAAGAAATGCTTGTTAAGATACCTTCACCACAAACAGGTGCAATATGCAATGAAAAAACTGGTTGGTTACCACAAGGATTCGATAATCAAGTCCGACATATTATAAGTAATAATATAAGAGATATTCTAAGGAATTATTATCGAACACATAAAGAAGATGAAGAAATTAAAGTAAGTAATTATAAAAATTTTATTGTATACGGATCTTTACTAAAGAAATTATTATAAAATATAAATTAAATACACTTTTGCATCAACACCCAAATATGTTTGTTTTCCCAAACACCGGGGTATGCAGAGATAAACTCATTTAACAATACGAAGTAGTTAAAAGCTACATATATTTTATATATGTACACCCGTGTGATTATATGAAGTGCTAAAATCCAAAAAATACTAGTAATTTTGATCCCAAAAACAATTTTATATATGTTTAAAATTTTGCTTTTTGGTAAACCATTGAAAATTTGAAGACGATACGGCTCTCCTAGAACTTAAGATATGTCAATTTAAAAGTAAAATAAAAAAGAAACGGATATATGGGTGTTGACATAAAGTTTAATATATATATAATATCAATATAATAATATATATAATATAAATATAATATATATATAATATAAATATAATATATATTTTAAATGATTTTACAGGCAAAAATGGTTGCTGAGAATATAGAAAATGAGGATGATATGCAATTAGGCGTTGACATAGAAGAAGCTGAATATATGGACATAAATGTAGAAGAATCATTAGAAGATAATTTTCAACAGTTAATGGATGATTTAGAGGGCTGAAAAAGTAAATTAACATTAAATTAATTTGTTTTTTTTTTTTAAATTGTGTTTTTAATAATATACCCTATAATTTAATTTAAGTAAAGATTATGAGTTTAAAATTAAAATGAGTTTCAAATAGTAACGGAAATCCATATATAATAGTTATATGTGTTTCCAATCCCACGAAAACTAATTAGATTACATAGTGGTGAACATCTTTTATTCGTATTCATGTCTTACCATTTACAATACTATCAAATTACCAACGTAAGGGAATTCAATTAATTTAATTCAGATCAATTTTAGATAGAATAAGTTGACTTTTGGCTAAATGAAACAAATCGTCTACTCTATTTAAACAAGCAATAAATTTAATTTATTACTATAAACAACATACGTCGAAAACATTAAACTAATAAAAACGCGTAGAGGAATATGTTATTTTGAGAATGAAAAAGACTAAAAGTGCTTTCATTCAACTTTAAAATATGTAGAACTATATGTCATATATTGACCTCTAGAAAACTTTGCATATATAATACCAAGATATACGCAGTTTTATTTTACAGAAGAAAAACATGGGAGAGTATCAATCTAATCATTAATTTTGACTTTTATAAACTAATGTCTACGAAGAAATCTATCCAGAAAATATCTAACCAGAAAATATTTGACCAGAAAATATCTAACCATGATCTGTCGGTTGAGTCAGAGATATTTTATTTTAAAGATATATTGAGGAAACACAAATATGGCTGGATAGAGCACTCTCTCAAAAGACCGTATAACAATATTGTACGATAGACATTGAGATAAAACTCCAGAGAACCGAAAATCGGAAATTATTAGTACTCTAATCTATTCTCAAACCTGGCAAACGTCGTAAATAAAGTCGATTGCACATTTGTTGTAATTATCGATTGAGAAATATACATTTTCGAATAAAGTGTATAGCTTTATTTATAGGAAATGGTAAAAAAAAATCGTATATTAAAGAACAACAGTGTTTTAAGCTGGAAGTGAACCAAAAAAAAAAAACGGTTTTGCTGAAGTAATATTCAGAATCGAACTGAAGCAATAACATCTCTTTATTTATCACACATCTCTTTATTTATTTATCTCATTATATTACACAGTTCAGTAACTTTCCTCATAAGCGAAGTTGAAAATTAACTGAATGAAAAGTTAAAAAAAAAAATGTTTTCTTAAAACTGTAGAAATTTTCTTTTTTTATTGAATAAATTATTTTTAATTGTAAACCGTCAGTTATGACGATAGTGACTATTTTACTTTATAAAAACTATTGTATTTTATTGGAGAGGTTTTAAAAAGTAGTGGACTACAACTTGCAGTCTCAAAAAAATAATTTACGAACAATTAATACATATACGCAATAATTCTAAGACCAGTGACGATGGGTATTTGACAATACTTGAAACAGCTCAAAAATTCAATTAGTTAAAAATAATATTAAACGTGTTTTTGTTGTTATAGTTTACTACTTTTCAAAACGTCTCTAAATAAATTCTTTTTTAAAATGACGGATAAAATCATTTCAATTATGACCAAAATTGGTTTATAATAATACATAAAAAATATTCATTTCAAAATAAACCGAAGACAGAAAAAAATCCTATAATTAAAACTAAAATTTAAAACGAAAATTAAAACAAAAACAAAAACTAAACTGTTTAAGATATTATTACAGGTTCAAAGTCTTGCATTCAATATAATAACAAATTAGAATATGAGTAAGAAATCATGACTTAAGAATGATATCAGTATGATATAGACATCATAATTTTATTAATACATGCTAAAAAAATAAATGGTAACCAATTTTTAAAAAAAATTGGTAATATATATAAATATATATTGAAGGTATATGCTATAATATACTATTTAAAAGTTATAGGGCTTGTTATATTCAAATAATAACAAGTGTTATAAACTATGATTTAAGCTGAGTATTATATATATGTGGCAGCACCAAAAAATATAAATAAAAGAACTGTCAACAAGGCACAAAGGAGACAACAATAGCCGCAGTTCCCGCCAGTAGTAGTTTGGAAAAAGACAAAGCAGCACGTGAATAAGACGTAAAAACATAAATCTTAACTTTAAGAATATTTTATAATAACTAAGTATAAGAAATAAATAAACTTATCCATTACCAATACGGAGTGTTCAATTCGAAATAAACCCCAACATAACAAACCACTACATTGGTGACCAAGCCGACGTCGAATATATAAAAAAAAAAATGGCTACTCAAGAGCAAAAGATAACCGAAGACACTAACCCAATCAATGAAAACGCAACAATCACTGCAATAAAGCTGCCGATGCCAACATTAATAAAAAACAACATTGACCTTTGGTTTATTCAGTTGGACTACTGGTTCCAAGTCAACAACATAAAGGGCGATACTCAAAAGTTTGGCACAGTTATCGCAGCATTGGATGGATCGCTGTTAGAACAAATTTATAACACAATACAGAATCCACCAGCAACTCAGAAGTACGAAGCTATCAAGCAAGCAATAATAAAAAACTTTGCGGATAGTGAACAAAAACGCATACAAAAATTAGTTAGTGGTTTACAGCTTGGGGATAAAAAGCCATCCCATCTTTTAAGCGAATTGCAACGTATTAGTGGAAGCAAACAAGACGAACAATTACTGAAAGGGTTATGGTTACAACGTCTTCCTGTAGAAGTACAGACATGTCTAGCCACAATTCAAGTGGAACTACCTAAGATGGCGGAATTGGCAGACAACATAACCGAAACAATCCGTATAAACTCAACAATGCAAGGAACTTACGTCAATGCAGCTAACGTCCCTGCAGCAGCTCATATTCAACGTGATGCACAAATCGAACAACTTCAACGAGAAGTGACCAGACTGACGAAAATGGTCTCGAAATTATCAACCGAACACCGCTCAAGAACAAATCAACGTTCACGTTCAACATCCAGAAACCGGCAATGTCATGATGATAGTGAAGAAAAGACCAGTACAAATTGTTGGTATCATAGAACATATGGGTCAAATGCAAAAAATTGCAAGCAGCCATGCACATATGGCACAAAAAACTAAAACCGACTTCGTCTACGGCGGCAGAGGAAGTTGTAAACGAAACATCTACAAGACTGTTCGTCTATGACAATAAGACAAAAAAATCATTCCTAATAGACACGGGTGCAGATGTTTCACTTATTGCCGCCAAACAAAAAAATTCAAATACAAACAATAAGAACGAAAGAATACTCTACGCAGCAAATGGTTCTACGATCAAAACATTTGGAGAAATAGAGATAACTCTAGCTCTTGGCTTACGAAGAAATTTCACATGGCCATTTATTATCGCAGATGTAAACACTTCAATCATCGGTGCAGATTTTTTAAATCATTTCGGATTAATAGTAGACATAAAAATGAAACGATTGATCGACACATCAACAAAGATTTTTTCAGCCGCAAGTGAACGTAAGGTAAATGCGCAAAAAATATCAACTGTGAACACATCTTGCAAAATTGCAGATCTACTAAAAGAATACATCGACATCACTAAACCAACACCGACAAATCGCCAGGTGACCAAAGTCACTCACCACATATTAACAAAAGGTCCACCAATATGTGAGAGACCACGTAGGTTACCTCCAGACAAGCTAGCAGCAGCAAAAGAAGAATTCCAAAACTTAGTCACAGCCGGAATATGCCGTCCATCAAGCAGCAATTGGGCTAGCCCCTTACATATGGTAAAAAAACCAGACGGTAGTTGGAGACCTTGCGGAGATTACCGTCGCTTAAATGCAATCACCATCCCTGATCGTTACCCAGTTCCTCACATACATGATTTTGCACACATGTTATATAACCAAAAAGTTTTTTCAACCATCGACCTGATTAAGGCATATCACCAGATACCAGTTGAACCGGGGGATATTCCAAAAACGGCGATCATAACTCCATTTGGATTATTTGAATTTACTAACATGACATTCGGACTTTGCAATGCAGGTCAAACATTTCAACGCTTCATTCACGAAGTATTACGAGATCTCGAATTCGCCTTTGCCTATATTGACGACGTCATTATTGCATCAGCAAACGAGGAAGAGCACAGGCAACACTTGCAACAAGTATTCGAACGATTCAGAAAACATGGTTTAATAATAAACGTATCAAAATGCGTTTTTGCTCAAAACACAGTAAAATTTCTTGGTTATCTCATCAGTGAAAAGGGCATTCAACCTCTACCAGATCGAGTGAAGAGCATCAGCGAGTACCCGCTTCCAACAAAAACAAAAGAATTAAGAAGATTTCTAGCATTACTTAACTTTTATCGCAGGTTCGTACCAAACGCTGTAGATTCTCAAACTGCACTTCAACAAATGATAAAAGGAAACAAGAAGAACGACAACACACCGTTATGCTGGACCGAAGTGAACAAAACAATCTTCCAAAAATGTAAAGATGAACTAACAAACTCGACACTACTTGTTCATCCGTCAAAAACTGCTACGCTTGCATTACAAGTAGACGCCTCGGATAAAGCTCTCGGCGCAGTTCTTCATCAAGTGACAGACAGCACGTTCCAACCACTCGGTTTTTTCTCTAAACGATTAACAGATACACAAAAACGATACAGCACATACGATCGTGAGTTGTTAGCCGCATATCAGGGCATAAAACATTTTCGACATATGTTAGAAGGTCGTGAATTCGTATTAATAACTGACCACAAGCCACTCACGTTCGCATTCCAGCAAAAGTCCGACAAGGCTTCACCACGTCAAGTCCGACAGCTTGATTATATAGGTCAATTTACAACGAATATCGTTCATGTCAGCGGAAAAGACAACATCCCAGCAGATTTTCTCTCGCGGATAGATAGTATTAGCATCCCAAAAATCGACTACGATTGTATAATTGGATTACAACGATGTTGCCCACAACTACAAGATATCAAAAACAACAATTCCATCGAAATCAAACTTTTATCTTTACCAACAATATCAGATAAAATTTATTGCGAAGTTTCAACTGGGCGAATTCGTCCTTACATTCCGCAGAAATACCGGCTACATATCTTTAAAGCTACGCATGGGTTGTCTCATCCCAGCATTCGGGGCACAACAAAAATGATAGCTGAAAAATTTTTCTGGCCTTCTATAAATGCTGATATCAGAAACTGGACCCGACAATGTATCCCATGCCAACGTTCTAAAGTGCAACGTCACAACCGTTCACCTATTTGTCAATATGAACTCGCTGAACACAGATTCGAACATATAAACATAGATATCGTCGGCCCGCTACCACCATCAAACAACTGCACATATATATTAACCATCATCGACCGTTTCAGCCGATGGCCAGAAGCAATTCCGATCCCAGATCAAACAGCGGAAACCATCGCAAACGCACTGATTACTCAATGGATCGCACGTTTTGGCGTACCCTTACGTATCACAACAGACCAAGGAAGACAATTTGAATCTTCATTGTTCAACCAACTAGCTGAAGTTATCGGTTGCAAACACTTACGAACTACGAGTTACCATCCTCAAAGTAACGGAATGGTGGAACGATTTCACCGCACATTAAAAGCAGCCTTAATGTGCCACCAAACAACTTCTTGGACAGAAGTTTTACCAATAGTATTGTTAGGTCTACGCACGACTTTTAAACCAGACATTGGAGCTTCTGCTGCTGAAATGCTATATGGCCAAACTCTACGTTTACCGGGCGAAATAGTAAGCAACCCTAGCCACAGAAATATAAATCAACACGATTTCATAACCAAGCTAAGAGAACAAATGCAGAGCGTCAAGGCAACGTTGGTATCGCATCATATAGACCGAGGCTACCACATCCAACCGGCTCTAAGCTCAGCCACGCATGTATTTATACGAAATGACAAGGTAAAACCACCATTGACGCAACCATACGATGGTCCTTACCAAATACTAGAGCGAAATGACAAGACGTTTAGAATACTGATCGAAAACAAAGAACAAACAGTTAGCATAGATCGTCTTAAAGCTGCTTTCATATGTCCCGATACAGACATTGACATCCACAACAAATCAATGGTATACCACACTCCAAACAACGTTAATGGCGACCAGTCTGTGCGACCAAATACAACAGCTAACCTGACAAAATCAGGACGCAACGTTCGCTTTCCAACCAAATTTAGTGACTCCATCACTTAGGGGGGAGTACTGTGGCAGCACCAAAAAATATAAATAAAAGAACTGTCAACAAGGCACAAAGGAGACAACAATAGCCGCAGTTCCCGCCAGTAGTAGTTTGGAAAAAGACAAAGCAGCACGTGAATAAGACGTAAAAACATAAATCTTAACTTTAAGAATATTTTATAATAACTAAGTATAAGAAATAAATAAACTTATCCATTACCAATACGGAGTGTTAAATTCGAAATAAACCCCAACATAAAAAACCACTACATATATATACAAAAATTCAAGCACTTTAGTGTTGAAATAATAGCAGAACACAATTGCATATCCACCACATGAAACTTTTAAATAACGATTCCATAATTATGTTTAAGACACTGAGTGTCCTACCTCTGTTATTATTGTTGTCAATGTAATTTTTGTAATTCTTTTTGTACTTTGTACGTTTTGTAGTGCTTAAGTGCAGGGATGTTTCAATAGTAAATTTGCTAAAGCGATGAATTTCCTGTAATGTTGAATTGTTTGGAAATCGTTTGTTTTCGTAATTGTAAAAGGTATTATCGCATACAAAATTTGATATTTTGTTAGAAAGTGTTCTAAAAAATGTTTATTATTAAAATAATTTGTGAAGTGTTTATTTAATAAAAGCTACTAATTGGAACTTCGTCACTTTGTTACAACGAAACCAAATAAATTATTATTGAGAAAACTTTCTAATAAAAAAAATTCTCTATGTTTTTTTTTAATTTGATATATATAACTTTTAACTAATTATGTATAGAATACTAAATTTTTTCGACAAATTTAATTAGCACTGTAAATATTCAGAAAAATATGAATCATCATTTGCAATTTTTGTGCAATTGTTACTTATTTTGTTTTCTTTTTTTTTTTTTTGTGAATAAATAGCTCGTTAAAACGCACCGAGAATAAACAAAGTGTATTGAATTCACAGACGTATACAAATTTCCGTTATAAGTACGCAGTTAATTAGAAAAAAAAAGTATTTTTTGTGAAAATTCAAGTTGAATTGTGGTTTCAGTATAAATGGATTAACAGCGGAGCGTCGATATGGACCTGGTGGATATAGATCAGGTGTTAGGTATGTAATATAGTTTGTTTATTTTTTAATTAGTATTAAAGCAAATTTTATATGTTTTAGATAATTTGGAATTACGTGAAGCTGCAGATGAAAAAAATGCAGTTCTAGAACAACAAACACAAGTGCAAAATGACTGTGCATCGAATGCTGATGAAATTTCAATAGATCGGGTAGGCGCTGGAAGTAGCAGTTGTAACAAAAGTTTTGTAGGTGTTTCACATGTCTTTAACAGTTTGGATGATTATCAAAAAAATGTTGAATCATTAGAAAATGCAACATTACAAAAGTACGACGAGGAATGTAGGCCAATTACGTCTGGCGTCAGTATAGAGGAGGCGCCATTAGAACAAATCAAATCAAAGGAACAACAATCAAAAGATAAAACAGACAATAATAAACCAAATCCAAATACACTATCAAACAATGAGGTTGTGACTATAAGCAGAAGTGTGGAACAAATTGATACTCAAGTTACGGAATATGACATTGAGGATGAAGATGAAGATGAGGACGAAGCTTGTAATGATATACATAGATACACTGAAAATATTGCTGGTAAACAACTATTAAATGGTGAAACTGGAGCTGATATCACAAATTCCATAAGTTCTGATTCTTTAACAACATCATCGTCGTCAACATTTTCATCAGGTCCTTCACCTGGATCTGTTGACTCAAATAGTCCGGATAATGATCCAAGTGCATTACTGATGCAAAACAATGATAATACCGAAAATCAAGAACAGCTCATTGAAGATAATTCATTAAGAGAAGATGAAGGAAATGTTGAAGATTTAGCTGTAGGACTTTCTTCAATTTCAATTACAACAGCCAATTCTCAATTGTTGTTACCTTGCGAAGGTACTGTTTCATCTGAGTTGGGGAATGTGCTTGAGGAGCTGTCTGAGACGACCACATCTTCAGTTTTAAGTCAATTGCATGAAGATGTTGATAAAGCAAAAAATATAGGTGTACAATCTTACCCACAAGCTCAGGTATATTTCACTAGTTTATATTTTTATCATATCAAATATAATTTTTTCTATTTATAAAATTTTAGGAAAACCTACTACCTGAAGAAATTGTTAACCAATCAGTTAATGTGATAAATCCAATTAATGTAGAAGGAACAATGAATATCGTAGATCAAAAAGTTGTAAATATAAGTGATGTACAAAAACCAATAACATTCAATTCCACTATGGATGAGATATCTGATACAGAATTAGATAGTATGCTACAAGAGATGGACATAGATGACGAGGAAGCGGATAGTGTAAAAAAGAAAGATTTAGATTTTAAAACACAGCCGACAGAACCAATTCATTCCGAAAAACCTGATATTGTAGCAGATACTATTCAAGATTTAGGGAATAATGCTGCGGATCAACCCAATGCTGATAGTTTTTCTCAAGCATCGACAGTAGAGTTTTCTGAAATTAAAGCGCAAGCCACCACAACAGCAGCTACCGTTGTAACCGAAGATTGTATACAAAATTCAATCTCATCGAATTCTGATACTTCTTCTATAGACGATTCAGAGGAATTTGCACAGGAGCAGACAGGTGCGCGTCCACGACCAACAACGCTTGATCTTCCAGTATCACATACTAATTTGTATGCAAATGCTGGTCAAACACCTCCTGGCGTAAGCCGGAAACAAACAGAAGCACCGCAAAATACTGAACAAGAAAATGGTAGTGATTTGCCAAACGATGCAACAACAGTAACACAAAATAGTAAGTTTATTAAAGTAAAAGTTGTTTCTATCAGAGCTCTAAAACGCATAAGTTTCGGAAGAGTTTTCGTTTAGTGATTCGCAACTATTCTGAACTATTGATTTGGTTAATGTAAGCCACAATAATTCGGTTAATTATTTGGTTCAGTTATAATATAAAGTCAGAAATTCAATTTAGAACTTATTCAAATCCTTGCTTTTTATAGTAAGTTAAGTTTATTAGCAGTTGTAAATACCAAATGGACAGAATAAAGCATGACGTTATTGAAACAGAAAATAAATGGCCGTAATAAAAGCCTCAGAATGTTACGAGGTATTGTAACATAATTCCCACTCGTTAAGCCCTTCAATCCTTCATCATAAGATCAACCTTAAGCTAGCTGAAGCATGTATAGGAAAAAATTCACGAACTAAAGTGACTTGCTTACATCATTAATCGAGGTTTCTGGACATATGAACATTGAAGGGAATAAAAAAAACAGACGTTTTGGCCCGTCTTGGTGCTTCCTTAGAGGCATCCCTAAGAGTACCGGTTTATTATCGCCTGGAGATTGTTATGAGAAGTACTTACCTCTTCTTTTTTCATCTTGCTATAAGAAATTGAAGACACATAGGTTATCTGTAATTTCCCTTTTAATATTATTAATACCATTATTCTACTCATTATTCAGTATAGGAACCCGCACAGAAAAACTACGTGATTTTTTAATACTCACTGTACAAGTTGTGGAAACTATTAGGAAAAATAAACAATTAGGCACTTCCTCTGTGAATGGCCAGCTCTGGCCTCCAGAAGAAACAAAACAGTACTTTTTGACACTATTTCAGATTGTTCATTGGTAAAAATGAAAGATCTGTTAAATTTTCGAAATTCGATAGAATGGATTTACTCTTCTTTCTATATCTTAAGGTTTCTTGCGAGGAATTCAGTTAAATAGTGGAAAATCGTTAATTGTAGTCAGTAGTCAGAAAATTTATATATAGATCTTCATCGCTATATAAAATAAATGTCTAAATCAAGGTGCACATATATTTAAGTAAAGAGAAAATGAGAGCGCAAGGATCTTCCATATGCAAAATAAACTATATAAAATAAAGAAATGTATCTGTACTTAGAGTTCAAATTACAAACGTAGAACTTTTCAAATAAATTATTTTATGGTTAGCCTTTGACATTTATATATAAGTCATCTGATTTTATAGTTTGATACAAATGGCAATAGCGTTGCGTATAGAAGTATATGGTTAGGTTAATTTGGCTAGTTGTAAGCCACACATAAGCCTATTTAAACTAAGGGATACCAGATATAGACCTTTTAAGTATCTCTAAAGTTTCCATTTTTTTGTATGTCAACACCTTTTGCAATTACAGTATTTAAGAAAATATTCTAGAGCTCAATTTTTGGAACAGTGTTTAAATCTCAACAAATATTAACACACTGCCTTTTGAGCAGTAGACAACTATATTAACTTAGTAATCTGTAAATAATAATCTGTACATAATAATCTATAAAAAACTTACTAATATTTCGTAAATTTTCATAGTTGAAGCATCAGACAATGAGGGATTAGCTGAAGCAACTGGTTACAGCGATCCGCATGCTAATCTCGGAAAGGTTCCTCCGATTTGGGTGCCTGATAACATGGCAAGCAATTGTATGCAGTGTCATACAAAGTTTACAATGATAAAACGTCGACATCATTGTCGCGCTTGCGGTAAAGTTTTATGTTCGGTTTGCTGTTCACAGAAGTTTAAATTAGATTTCTTAACACATCCGGAATCAAGAGTGTGCGTACAATGTTATCTTATACTTACACAACGTCAGAATATTGAACCGACTGCGCCTAGCTTGGCAGCGGACTGCGAAGATGTTGTTAATCAATCTAATCAGGTACTTACACCTTCGCGGTCACCAAATCCAAATAATCCAATGGAGTATTGTTCCACTATACCACCTTCAATGCAAGTAAGTGCAACATCAACACAACCTCCTACTGTGATTGTTCCTGTCGGTGTACTCAAGAAAGATGGCAGTTACTCTTCAAATTCATCACAATCAAGCAACAAAAAGGGTAGAAAAAGAAAAAGTGTTATGTTTAGTGATGGTATTGCACCTGGTAGTGATTTAGCAAACATGGAACATCAGTGGGGTGAAGCAAAGCAAGCGAAAAGAAATAGTCAAGATAAATCTCGTCGTACTAATAATAAACCTCCAACACCTGCGGATTCAGCACCGACTACAGACATAACAGCGATGAGTATGATGGCACAACTATTTCGCGGTGGTATTCCACCCTCAGCAGCAGCAGCTACTGCTTCTGTGCTTGAGCGTAGTGCTAATATGACAAAAAAATTAAATGGTAAGTATAGGTAATAATAGTATTTTTATTATAATCATTATTAATTTTATTTTAGAAGCTGAAAGCAAAGAAAAAAAATCGGTTGCTAAGAGTAAAAATGAATTTGATTCATTTCGTCCAAAGCGACAATTGCCCTTAAATTCTGAAGATAATTGCTTAATACCAAAAGGTGATAATAATCTCTTACCACCTATTGTTATTAGTAAAGAAGAGAGTAATTGCAATATTAAGCATCAAGAGGTGGATAATAACTATGATCTCATAGAACGTTTGCAAAATGAGACTCTTAAATTTGCAGTGCAAAAGAACTTTTTTGTTTATGTAAAGATTGTTAATTGTAAGTATTAAATTGTATAGTATATAGTATATAAATCCTATGTTGGGAAGAAAGTAATTTCAGTTTGTGTGTTAACACTTTGGATGGGATTAGGGTTGTAAACCACATAAATATTTGAATAAGTTTGGTTCAGTTTTTCGGAAATACTCTGAACCATTGAATGAATTGCAAAATCCGACCTATATTAAGAATAAAATAATATTAGCTTGTTAGTTGATATCTTGCTGATTGCTAGGACTGTGAATCGCATAAATTTCTGAAGTAAAAGATACTTACAATCATTGGAAATCATTGCATCATATATCACTTAAAAAAATCGGATGATTTCATCGGTTGGATCTCTAATCAACCCCTATTCTCTGGGATCCCAGCCTCCACTCGCCACCCTTCACCCCCTATCCTCCATTGACAATCACCTATTCACATCCGAACCAACGTATTTGTCTTGTAAATCCTTACATATTATCTGCTTTCTAGATCCCAGCGAATTACAACAACATTATTACGATGTAGAACTGATTTGATTTAGAACCGATTCCCAATCCAAGAATACGTATTAATCATGAAATGTGAAATCTTTTTTCTAACCAACCTTTTAGTTCTTAACTTCTTAAAAATTTATATGCTTTAACTCTAATTTTTAATTTAGTGAAATGCTGCATGAATCGGATTGTAATAAATTTTACCACCTGTGGTATGCATCATGTGGGAAATGATGAAATAATTATTCTACTTGAATTTGAAATACCTCCAAATAAGGAAGAGATGTCACAACCACCGATTCCTAAAGATATTTTTGTACATTTAAATGAAATATATAATGATGCAGAACAAGGAAATCCAATTGCTGAACTGTCATATACCAGTCCCAGGCAAACAAACTTCCTGGGTTCACGCGAATATGGAGGATTTTTGTATATACGCACGAACTTTCAATGTCTGCAAGATGTGATAATGCCAGAAAATCCATTCTTAATAGGTATACTAATACATCGCTATGAAGTACCTTGGGCTAAAGTATTTCCATTACGGCTAATGCTACGACTGGGTGCACAATATAGATATTACCCATGTCCACATATTTCCATGATAAATCGTGAGTCAGTATATGGTGAAATAGCGCAAACAATTATTAATTTTTTGGCCGTAAGTTTGTGAAATATATTTAAATTTAAATAATTAAAAATTATTTAACGTTTACATTACAGGACTTTCGTAATTACTCTTATACGTTACCACAAATTAGAGGTCTATATATACATATGGAGGATCGACAGACTACGGTTCTAATTCCTAAAAATCGTCAAGAAGATGTTCTGAAAGCAATTAATAATTCAAGTGATCATATTTTAGCTTTCGGTGGAAATTTTTCAAAAAGCGCTGATGGACATTTGGTGTGCATGCAAAATGTGAATGACAATAGCACAGAAATGTATTCATATTCAACTCAAGCTATCAACATACAAGGACAACCACGTAAAGGTATGATACTATATAAATAGGACCAAGTGTGTCTAAGACTTGTGAATTCTTATAACATGAAAAAAGGAATTATAAATGCGTATGCATTCGTTAGGATAAAGTTGGGTAAAGAAAGTGCGAAAGGGGAGGGAATTGTTTCGGAAACAAGAGTGGATTAAGAATGGGTAGTATTACATTTGAAGCTAATCTGGATTAAGGCGAAGAAAACTAGTCGCTTGTCACTAGTCCAAGAACGGCCGGGTCTGTTTTTGAGCTATTCGTCCCAAGCGATGACCAAGTGCCGTTCAACACCTCCCAAAATGACTAGACAAGCAAGTCGCAGCGGGTTACAACAACAACAGTCACTTCAATGAGACGAATTCAAGTTTAGGTTCAGGCAAATTATTCCCTGCTGGTTTTTGTTATGGTTGTTATAGAATGTAAATCAATAGCTAGTTATATACGTAAATACCTATCTGCTGCAGTCAAATTTATTTGTTTTAGAATCTACTTTCAAGAAAATTTGATGTTCATTGTTTTCAACTTAACATTATACTTTTCATATTACTTTATAATTGCTTACATTTTTATTATATTCGTATAACCTCCGTCTCCTAAAAAATGAATATTAAACTTAATGCTTTTCGTTTAAATCTTTAAAAAGATTTATTATCATTGATCTTTTTACTTCTATCTTTGCTTATTAGCCATATTTACAAAGTAGTGCTTCACAATTGCAGCATTGTAGTAATTATATCCTTAAAAACTTCATCTCTGTTAGTAGACCAGGTATACTATCAACTGATGTTATTCAGCTTTTCACTTGAGATTGGAGCTACTACCTACTGCTATCGTAGAAAATTGTTGATATTACCATTTTTTTCGTTGTGTAATTGTTTTCAGCGGTTATGAACGGTACGTGGTCATCGAATTTGATGAGTAGTTCCAGAATATTGATCCGATAGTTCTTAAAACAATCTTCGCAATTGATTAATTAATGCTAAATTTCACAATAACTAATATTATTTGACACAATTCGTATATAAAAAAGTTAAGATGTTAGTTTTGGCTTTGCCAAAGCTTGGATATTCTTGACACTGAATTTTGAACCTACTTTGCGGTCTCATATATATAATAATATACAGAATATAAATTTAAAAACATATACATAATAATGATTAGAGCTATCCAACACATGAGGTTGCATTTTATAAATAGTATTTAAGTTCCAAATTTAAAGTAAAAACATTAGAAAATAAAAAAGATTTTCTAACAAAAACCTGTATTGATTCAGCAGCTTATACGATAGGTATATTTAAGTCTGAACCGATATGAATAAAATTTTATATAATCTCTTATATGAATATGAATAAATTCTTTAGAAAATTTTTATTGAATATCTTTATTCTACTTTACTGATGGAGACAATTTATAACCTATCGTTCAGTTTAAATGGTAGTTTTGTAATATAGTTGTCCGATTTTAACTAATGTTACAAAAGATAGTAGTCTGCACCCGAAAAATATATGTGCAATATTTCATTCAAATAGCTCAAAAATTGAGAGAGCAGTTTGGAAAGAGACAGACGGACTAAGCTTCTCGAGCTGATTAAGAATATATATACTTTATATGGATTACAACGATTTTGTCTTTGCGTTTCAAAAAATTTGACAAACCTAATATACCAATTTTACACTTTTTTGTGTAAAAAGTATAAAAATGAATAAGTTTCATTTTTATACTTTTATACAGAGGTATAAAGTTTGAATAGAAAAAAAGGTAGTCCTATAGTTTAAAAATTTTCAATGAATCATATTTAAGCATTTACGAATGCATACATAAAGTACCAGTTGTAGAATTGTTAACTAATTAGAATTAATTAATTTAAATTACTTTATTTAAAACGTTTGCAGATTTAAAACCCGATATCTTGGGAATCAAGTTATATCCATATATGAAACATATGCAAAACAATCAAACATATCAATGAAATTCGTATAAATATCAAATGTCGATTTGGACTTGTCGTGGTTGATACTCCTAAGTCACAGTCCCTAGTATTTAGAAAACTAAAAATTTAATACAAATACAACTTAATTAACAATAATATTCATTTCTCTTCTTTTTATTGTTTTTATATATTTTTCGATTACCTGGAATTTTAGTTACTGGAGCAAGTTTCTTTGTTCTAAATGAAGCACTTAAAAGTACAAGTGGATTAACCGGTAAATGTAGTATAGTAGAAGATGGCTTAATGGTACAAATATTATCATCGAAAATGGAAGAAGTACGAACAGCTTTAAGAAATCATACAGATATTGATATTGTATGTGGACCTGTTGACGCTGATGAGAAAAACACAGAAGTTGTTAGTATCAAATGGGTTGATAACGATCGCGATTTTAATCTTAAGTAAGAGTTGACTTATATTACAAATAATTTGATTTATAAACTCATATTTATACTAAAAATTACAGCGTAAAATCACCTATAGATGAAATGTCTATGGAAGGAACATCGAGTATGCGGGTTCATGCCAGTTTCAACTATTCAAACACGAATTATTTAATACGTCTAACAGATATCTACATTATAAAGGTAATACTTCTATTATATAAGTTTTCTATTCAAAATAGAGCTTTAAGTATTTTAATGTTTGAGTATGCTTGAGCCATTTGAAAATTTATTACGTTTGAATACTTGCGATTAAACGTACTTCTTTAAAACAAAAACAAAATATAAAATAACATTCAATTCATCATCAAAAATTGAGTACATAAACTGTTAGAATAATTATAACTTCTTCGAACAGCTTAAACATTTCCCCTTAACTCGAATTCAAACATATACTCGAATAATTCGAATAATCCGAATAACCTGAAAGGGACTCTATGGCAGAAAATTTGAATGGCATACGGGATGAATACGTTGGTTAGGATTAGAGAAAGTAGGGGAAGGGTAAAGATATGGGAAGTTGCTACTTGATATTAGTCAGATTTAAGGTGAGGGAACCTAGCTACATTGATGGAATAGAGTTATAAATTTATAGGTCTCAAATCAGTGTATTGATTGTGGTATGTGAACAAATAGTTAATATCATGAATAGAGTTAACGTTGGAAATTGATATATTATTTCATAATAAGTGAATGTTGAGGACAATATATGTAAGAAGAAGACGTCTTTCATTATTAGAGATTTCAGACGGAAGCCTGTTAAGAACTTTGTTGCAATACCTCTCGTGACCCTACTAATGTTGGCTCATTGGAAAAAAAGTGTCAATGTTTTTTTTGCAATATGAAGAGAGGGTTTTACTGACAAAGGCAGTCAGTCTGTGTTAATAGGAGAAAGAAATTGTTCGAATCACAGCTGATAGTCAATTTTTTTGGATTTCTCAAACTGCTTTAACATCATACTACTTGAACATAGCACTACTTCAAACATTGTTTTATTTTATTTGATTAATTTTAATATGATTATTTTTTTCTATATTTGTATATGCAGTACGATGAGTGGTATAATTCCACTTCATCACAGTTAAGCGCTACTTCAACAGACATTACTAGAATTGCCGAACAAATTGCAAGGAGCACTTCGATGGCTTTAGTACCCTTTTTGGATTTACTTGCTGCAAGTGGAAGTACAAAGATTGGTTTGCGTACAACTTTGCATCAGGATAATGTATAAATAATAAATATACATATTTTTATTATATTATTATTTAATTATTTTTTCTTATAGGTTTGCTATGAAGCTGGTACACGTGGTAGTAAATTACCGCCTTTGTATATGAACGCTTTGGACAACCATTTGATTGCCACACTACATAGTGAATCATCTGGCATTGAAGATGCAATTGTATTAGAATTAATATTTTATATATTAAATGTTTAGTTTTCTGCAATAAGAAGAAGCATGTTAACATTCTGCAATAAGAAGAAGCATGTTTAAAAATTTCGTTAAATGAATACAGAATGAAGTGCAATCACAGGAGGCCAACAAATGGCGTTCATTTAAGAACGTAAAATATATTTAATGCTGTGTGCTTGATGGGTATGTAAAGAGTTTATGAATAATTAAATTAATTAATTCTTTTAAAAGGGATGGTGTTATCTATAAAAGTTATTGTTTTAACATGTTTCCTGTTATTTACACTTTTATTGAAATCAAAATGTGTAAGTTGTTAGCTTATTTTAAAAATAATAAATTCAATTTTTTAGTTAGTTAATATTAAACTGTAATTAAATATATCTACGTACATTGTGTATATACTTGTTTAAATATAACTATTGTATTCAATAAAACTTATTTTAACTATTAAATCTAAAAATGTGATTGTCAATTTTTTTTATCATTAAATGCATAGAAATCATCAATATAAATTCATTAGTTGCAAGTAGACAGTTTGAAGACGTTATACTCACATATCATATGTCATAAATTAAATACATTTTAAATAAATAGTGTAGCAAATATATAACATAGTTATCAGTAGAAAGGTTGAACAAATAGTTGTTGGTATATTATATGTCAGGTTGAATGAAATAACTAACACTTTAATAAGTATATCAATCGAACCAGTTTACATATTCAATTCGTGTTAATATTGTCTCAATTTTAACATGCCTTTCAAGACTACAAATTAATTTAATATTTTCCTGAAGTTCTTCCATTTATAATAATGGAGTAAATATATTTAATATTATGTACATGATGATATTCATTGTTAACTTTAAGTACTTAGTTGAGTACTTCTAAGGTCTTGCATTGGCGTTGTTAATATGTGCATCCCCATTCTAATCGTATTTGTTACTTTTTATCTTGGATTAAAAATTGTAATGGAAATAATATTATTGCGGTCTTCTGTACGGGTCTCTCTAAGCTCTAAATAGTTCACCGTCTAAAGTTTCTGGGGATGAAGAATATCTCCAGTGTGTTTCAAGAACAGTTTTATCTCAATTGTAGACAGCAGCTATATGTTTTTATGTCGAAATTTTTTTTTTTTTTTTCAATTCATACGTTATTTATTGAATCTTTCAATTTGGAAACTAACAATAAGTGATCAAATCTTAAAACTAAATTTATTTTTTTTTCCTAAGCCATTGATTTGGAAAAAATTATTAAGACATTAATTTATTTAATAAAAAAAAATTGAAAATTAATATTAAAATTAAAATTGAGATTAAATTTAATTCAAGAAATCACATTCAGTTCAATTAAAGAAAATTTATAATATTTTAAATGAAATAAAAATTTTGAAGGTTAACAGATGTTAATGGTGTCCTTCTTTTTTAGACGTCTGTGGCCTTTGTTCAGTAGCAGCATGTAAGCTAATTGGTTAGGATGGTCTTCTAACTTTAAGAGATGCTGACGGCTACATCGAGCAGCTTCTTCTATTATTGTTGGCACGCTCAAATCTCTATGAAGGTTAGCATTTTTCAGAAACCACGGTGCACCTGTTATCATTCTTAGGGTTTTAGATTGCAGCCTTTGCAGTTTTTCAATATTTGATGGCATCGCTGTTCCCCACAGTTGAATTCCGTAACTCCATATTGGTTTTATTATCGACTTGTATAGCAAAATTTTGTATTCAAGTGGTAGCTTAGATGACGTGCCCATAAGCCAATGCAATGAACTTAATTTTATATTTATTTGTGTCTTTTTAGCCTCTATGTGTTTGTTCCAAGTTAAACGTCTGTCTAGATGTATCCCTAAATATTTTACATTGTCGCTTGAAGGTACTTTTTGCTCATTTATTGTAATATTGGGACAGTTTCCTGGTCTTAGAGCAAATGTTACATGGGTACATTTTTGTTCATTGACTTTGATACGCCATACTGATAACCATTTCTCAAGTTGGTGAACATGTTCTTGAAGCATGCGTTGTGCGATTGCGGGGTTTTTGTGTGCACTTAGTATTGCTGTATCGTCAGCAAATGTTGCAGTTAAAGTGTTTTCCGAAGTTGGCATATCACTTGTATACAGCAGATATAATAGCGGACCTATTACACTTCCTTGTGGAACTCCAGCTTTGATAGGACAGGGTTCTGAAACAAAATCTTTATATTTTAAAATAAAAGTTCTTCTGCTTAAGTAGTTTTTTAACAAAAGGTGAGTGTTAACTGGCATGAGAGTTGTAATTTTATGTATTAAGCCTTCGTGCCATACTTTATCAAACGCTTGGGCTACATCTATAAATATGGAAGTGCAGTATTGTTTATTTTCAAATGAGTTTCTTACGAATGATACAATACGATGCACTTGTTCAGTTGTACTGTGTTTAGCTCTGAAGCCGAATTGATGCTCCGGAATTATTTCGTTAGCTGAGAGTATTGGCATTATTTTTGTTATTAGTAGCTTTTCAAATATTTTTGATAATACTGGAAGGACGCTAATTGGTCTGTAGGATTCTACTTTGGTTTTGTCCTTTCCAGGTTTAGGTATCATTGTTATTTGTGACATTTTCCAAAGTTTGGGATAATATCCTGTCCGTAAGATAGCGTTAAATAAATGCCTGAGATGTATAATGGCACATTGTGGTAATTGTTTCACCATTGTAACTGAGATTTTATCAGGTCCTGCTGCCTTTTTCGCATTGAGATCTTTTATAATTTTATTGATATTTTCTAGTTTAAAAATAAGGGGCCTGCTCGAAGGATATAGGTTTGTAATTGGTAAAGAAGTATTTTGTGAAGCATTATTTGGAGTAAATACATTTTTCAAGTGTTTTACAAATATTTCCCCTTTCTCTGAGTCACTTCGTGCCCAGTCACCATTTTCTAGTCTGAGAGGAGATTCATGCTGGATAGGCTGTTTGAGGTACTTTGTTGCCTTCCAAAGTGAATAATCCGTTTGTTCATTAGGTGCCAAATTGAATAGAAAATTGTCTAGGGATTTTTGATGTCTTTCCGCTAGTGCATATTTGAGTTCATTTGCACATTTAGCTAGTAAAACTTTATTGTTTGGGGATCTGTGCCGTTGCCATAGTCTTCTAGCGTTTCTCTTTTGTTGTAATAATCCCTCTATTGTTTTTGTCACACCGATTTTTTTGGGTTCTTTTTTTTCAATTCTTATAGAAGCTACTTCAACACCCATTGAGATTACTTCAGAAAATTGGTTAACACAAGCATCAATTTCATTATTCACCTTTAACGAAGCATGTTGAGGTATATGACAAGAAACATATTTACGAAATTTTAACCAGTTTATATGTTTTGTTAGACATTGCGTTTGGATAGTTTTATTCTGTTGACTTTGCATTGTTATTATTGTTGGTGAGTGGTCTGATGACAATTCAACTAATGGAAATGCGGTGATTGTTGACGGTTTAATATTTTTGCTTAGACCAAAGTCGATAAGATCTGGGACTTTTTGTCGATCAGAAGGCCAGTATGTTGGGTGTCCAGTTGAAATCACATTGAGATCTTCACTTTTCACAACTGCTAGAAGTTTCCGTCCTCTTGGCGTTATTAGCCTTGAACCCCAGAATGTGTGCTTCGCATTAAAATCGCCTGCGACCAGAAATTTAGAACCGAGTGTTTTAAAAAAGTTTTGGAAGTCTTGGACTTCTATATTGTGATTGGGTGGACAATATATTGCAGCTATTACGATATTTTCTCCATATTCATCAAATCGGATAGCTGTCGATTGTAGATAATCTTTGCTGAAGTCTTCTAAAACAAAATGTTTAAGTCTTTTTTTTATTATAATACCAGTACCTCCTCGAGCCATACCTTTGGGATGCTTGGTGTCATAAAAGTAGTAATTTGGAATTTTGAAAGCGTTTTTTTTGAGTAAGATGTGTTTCGGACACAAGCATAATATCAATTGCATTACTAATTAAAAAATATTCAATTTCAAGTTTGTGGTTGTTTATACCGTTTGCATTCCAGTGACATATTCTAATGGAGTTGCTCATTTTTTCATTATTAGAGTTTGCATTAGAGCAGTTTGATTTTTTATAAGTTCTTGCATCTTGCATACTTTGCATACTATACATAAAAAGATTAAGACTTTGGATCAGTGTTTTTAGCGTCTCTTCTAAATTATCTACTGCTGGTATTGCCAATTGTTGAGGTTGAATATTTTCTCTTAATACATTTGCATAACTTTTGCCTTGAGAGATTGTTGCTTCTGTATTGTTTATTTGTTCTTGGTAGTAATTTTTGGGTGGCACAGCGTTTAATTGATTTTTGGGAAGAGTTCTCTGCTTTATGTCGAAATGGACCCATAGATTTTGCTTTACGATTTCGTCCAGTTTCGACAAGATTCTTATATCTAAACCCAGATTAATTGCAACATTTCTACCTATTCGCTTTCTTATTTCTATTTTAAAATCCTTCACTATCCCCATTCTATCCCATTGTGCAAGTTTTGTCATCCTTTTATGTATGTACTTGTTTTTCCGGACAGTGCGGGCTCTATTATCATCCACGTCTTCAATTTCTATTTGATTGGGCTTATTAATTATCGTTGCTTATCGCATTTGGCCAAGAATACCTCATATTCTTCTCAGGTAGTAGTTGACGAAGTGACAACATTTTCTTTAATATATTCGGTATTCGCAATTTTTGTACTTTAGGAGATATTGACATTTTATTGATGATAATAATTCTGGTTTTCTGAATAGTGTTTTGACACCCTTTTTCCTATATATATTACCTTTTTTATTAAGGTCAAAGTTCAGTTAAAAATACTGACTTTTCTTTATTCGTTTTAGTTAACTCAGATATAAGGTTTTCATATCCTGAAACCGATATAGATATTCTAATTTAAGATCGGAGAGATCTTTAACTAATAAGTTTATATATATTATACTTTTTTAAACACAATACATAGAAATATAGTAGATATTCCTAAAAAATAACAATAAAAAGCGATATATTACACGCTGTCTAGTTTATTGTGATTGTAGTAGCCCGCTTCAAGCCCTGCGATCACTTGGCTACCAATATGCTTTGTTTTACATTAGGCCATATCCTGATAATAGGGTTTATCATGCAAGTTTCGTATCTCGTTTTTGCAATCTGTCATGCATACTAATTTCTGCAACATTGTAACGATGATTATAATTGATCAAGTACTATTAACAGAGCTGATCATGGCCATAGCCAGGTGTGGGGAATAGAATAATCACGCTTTTTCAAGTTTATATGGACAATTCTAACATATTTCACTTTCTTGGATAGTAATCTAGAAGTGTAATGTATTAAAATATCTGCAAGAGAAATGTTTCTTTGTTTAGCAAAAAGAACCAGTATAATTTTCAGGATATCCATCCTTCTGGTTTTAAATACAGTTTCATTGGACTATGCTAATGTGACTTTTATGGCCATTTGAAGTCATACTAATAGAATTAATTGTCTTTCGTAATAATAACTTCGCCATTTGCTTAGGGTCAATCCTCCAATACGCTGTGTGTTTTAGGTTTAATAAATTCGCCTATGACAAAGAGTTATATAGTAAATAGCCGTAGGTGATTGAAAAACCATTAAAGAATATTATTATTTTCGATGAACCATTTTTTACTGTATATTTTTTCAGATAGGCATTTCTATGATATTCTGCATCTCGATAAAAAATGAAAATATAGACACACTCTCCTCTCATATAATTTTGTTTGTTTCTTAGATTAGTAGTATGTTTCTACTGGCTTCGTTAGACTAATTAACATACTTAAGATTGCTTGAATTACTTGAATCTAAAGTAAGTTAACTGGTCTAACGAAGACAGTGGAAATATACTATAAGGAAATACGATCTATCTTTCAAGTAATTTGCATAGTTCATTTTTGTTGCAAACGCTGACTCTCAAAACAGTTGTACTGTTTAAATATATTCTGGATATCTGGAACAACATAAAAAAGAAGTTCTTTTAGCGCTAAGATTATACTTACTAGTTAATTATCTAGTAATGATTGTTTAAAACATAACATTTCTTTTAACTTACGTCGGTCGCGTTTTATTATTCTAAAAACTTGAGATTAAAACGAATATTACGACACAATTAAAATATAATTTGTTATAACTTTATTTTATTATAAAATTGTTTGTTTTTATGCAAAATGGATTTTCACTCAAACATATTTATTACAACATAAATTACAAATTTAACAACTAACATTAGTAAAAATGTGTGTAAAATTTTTAGGCTATAACTGGTATAAAAATAATGACTAAAATTAAACAAATAAAAACTTTAATGAAGTTTACTAATGTAGTTTGAAATTGAAAAATTTACTGAAGTATGCATAATTTAATTATAATAATTTTTATATTTTTTTATATATGCACTCGTAAAAGTACATCTATAGAAGGTAAATAACACTAACTAAATTTTTTTAAGCACAACTGTAGAACCTCAATTTATTAAAATAGTTTGTGAGTAAATCTAGTTGAGGAAGAACTTAGCGAATTATATTAACAAAATTTCAAATTATATATATTACATATATTGTATAAAATTAGATTTTAAGAGGTTTTTTGTTCATTTGACATTTTGTTAATTTCAAGCGTCACGTCTAAAATCAGTACGCGACGTCAGTCCTCTCATAATAAATTGTGCGAATGTTTTGAATGTGTGAAATGATTAGAGTTCGTCGTGCTTGGGACCAGAGAACTCATCATGTGAAATGAAACCGTTCTTGTCTTTGTCTTCATGTTGGAAGATTTCTTCTACTAGTTTGTCGTTTTCACGCAACATATTCTTTAGTTCATCTGAATCTTGTCCTTCGACGGCTGTCATTTGTTTCTTCAAATATTCGCTGACCTAAATGGCAGAAGAAAAGAATTGTAAAATTGAATATTAAAATAGAGATGTAGATATCATAGCGAATAAAAATTGTATATTAACAGAAAAACATAATAGAAGCTGGAATTTTAAACTATATGGTTTGGTTAAAATAAAATTAATATATAATATTAATTGAATTGTTGAAATAAAGTCAGTGAAGTGACTTTTGAATGGTTAATCACTAAATACTTATAAATTAATTATGTTTTTTGAATGGTTAATCACTAAATATAAATAAAATGAGTTTTTAATATTCTACTGTAGAATAATACGGATCCTTTCTTTTGTACTAGTTCTTTAAAGAACATAATCTCTTCTTTCTCACAATTTCTTTCCTTTTCGTTCCCTTTCTTACTTTTTCACATTCTGTCTTTCTCTTCCCACTTTCTCCATTAAACTCTGCTACTCTCTTCTCTGTATGTCTATCATGCTTTGTTGATCCTTTCTCCCCTTTTCCCTCTCTTCATTATCTCTCATTCTTTTCTTTCACCTCTATCTCACTTATCTTACTTTATCTCACTTATCTTACTTTATCTCTCTTCTTTTACTCGTCTCTTTTCATACCTTGTTCTTCTCTTATTCCCTCTCTCGCACATCATCTTTCACTTTCTTTTTTAATTTTCTTCTTCTCCACTACATCGGGAGAAAAAACCTACAAGTAGCATAATTGTATGCATTCGATGGTACCTAGAAGATTTTTAATAACTACAACTCAATTAGTGAATTCTATTCAAAAAAATATATGCAAATGCAGTTTCCCACTGGACTGAGATTCTATTTATTTCTTCTTCTTTGTTTGATCAAACGCGAGTTAGTGTTTAATGCATTTTTGCACAATAGTGTCTGTGACCATTTGGATAATTCACTGCAATAACAGCGCCGTTAAGTTTTGATCATAACTTATTCAAATGATTTTATAGAAGTATACTTTAAACCCCAACATATCTTCATCTCTTTACTATATCTCTAATTGGTATCGCAATCAGGTATTACATAAAGATGCGAGGTCCGCATTTTGTAACCAGTCTTGATAAACCAGCTCAACCTCTTGGAGTGAAAAGTAATAATAAGTAGAAGTGGGAATGGGAATGGTTCGCACATAGAATGCAGTATATATTAAACAAATAGAGGAGGTAATGGGGAATGAAATCAGTACTTGGTACATACAATTCTAAAGAACATGGAGGCAGGATTAAATGTTACATAAATCTGATGAAAGCTTCACAAATGTTCACCGGTTTCACAAAAGCGTTATTATATTTTCATATTTGCATTTATTATTATATTATAACAATGAATTTTTTTCTCGAGCTCTTCAAACAGATCTGGCAATTAATTAACAAGAATACAAGTAAACTAACCGCGTTCATTCAGTATAAAATTTATTTTCGTAATAGATGAAAGTAAAATTTTTGCAAGAATCAATTTTTCCCAATTTAAAACCGGACAAATATTTAATGTTTTTTACAAAGACACGTAAAATATTCAACGTGTTTTACAAGATCCAGTACTAATATCTTTTCAAAAAATAATATCCTTAAAGGTGGTATAGAATCTAACATAGATTACCTTATATAAGAGAGGTCGTTATATGATAAATTTTCCAGTTGGCATAGTTTAAAACAGAAAATTAAGATTTTTCGAAAAAAAACTATATAGTATCCGTTCTTTATATATTATATTCTGATTACAGCTCTTATTGAACTAAAGTTACTTGTCGTCCCGAAATCAGACAACCAATTGTCGCTTTCTTTCTTTAAAGTTCCACTGTTTGCAAGGATGGTAAACACTTAATAACCAAATCTTTTCTTAGTCTTAAAAATTTGACTTTTCATAATAAAGTAATATTTTCAGAATAAGTAATTAGAAAGAAAGGTCGGATAGAATTTCACAAAAAGTTAGATTACTACACATACAAGCATTATAGTTATGAAGTAATATACTTTTAACAATCGTATCCTTTACCAAGAGGCAAAGTAAAGAACCGCAAACCAATTCTAAAATATTTTAGATATCACCGCATATCCACCAAATTGAGCATATGAACAGATACAAATTAATGATGAGAGAAAATAGATCCATACATATATAACTACCTCTTCACGGCTCAATTGCTTGTCGTTGTTTTCATCGATTTCCTTGAATACATTTGTGGCTGGTGGTGATTGACTAATGTTGATGAGTTCCACATCGAACAAGAGTGTAGCTTTTGCTGGAATAACATTTCCAGCACCACGATCACCATAACCCAACTCTGGTGGAATAACTAATTTACGTTTTTCACCTAAAATAAAATAAAATAAAATATTAATATAAATTTGTAAGCAAAAAAGATAAAAGCTTTAAAATTGTAAATTAGCTTACCAACACACATATCAAGTAGTCCTTGATCCCAGCCTTTTATCACTTGCCCAGCGCCTATTTGGAACGTAAACGGTTGATCACGGTCAAAACTGTAAATAGAAAGCAAATGTTAATTAACTATCAAATTAATAAAATTTTGTTTATATTAAAAGGCAATTAGAAGTAATTATGGTTGTGAATTTTTTAAATAATTAGTTTTTCAGACAAACAATTCAAGTGGAAGTGGAAACATTTATCAACCTATTTTCCGCTGTTATGCCTCAAAAAAAAAAAAACTGTATTTGTACGATGCGTGTTTTTTCCATTTTAATATATTTTAAATAATAGAATTTACTTCTTTCGAAAAACAATTCATCACTAAAACCGACAAACATGACTGAATTCCCCACTGCACAGTTCTCCATGAGATGAATTCATCATTTTTTACTCGTATTTTCGCAGGACTTTTGATTATTTAATCATTTTTCCTTCCATAATCGAGTATGTGTGACACTTAAAAATGCGCTTCCTGAATCTTTTTTAAACTTTTTTATACTTGCTAGTAAATAACTGGCAATGGGGGAGACTTTATTAAATATTCATTCGCTTATGATGAAAAATGATGCGAATATTTGACACAATTTTCCGGCTCTTTTGCGCATTCAAAAGTCTTCTCATAAGAACTCTGTTTGAATTTATAGGAGGAAGTGAATGTTGTTATTTGCATATAACAGCGCGTAAATATCTGCATTGTATATGTGTTATGTTTATATTAGTTATCATTACTTAACCAAACCAGTAATTTAAATAATCCAATTAAAGTAGCATGATTATATTCGTAATATTATGAATCGATACCAGTAAATAATGTTTCCGTTTACTAAACTAATACAATTTGAGTTTGGGACGACAAGAAAACCAAAGCTCATATAAGTTTAAGGTTATGTTGTATAACTGACGGCTATCACCCACATATTTCAAACATTTAATGGCCAATTGCGATACCATTAGCAGTAGGATTTAACATTTGCTACCGTGTTTTATAAACTATTTTATTTATTTAATGAATTTTGGCAAGTTTTCGTTTAGGGTCGAAAGGTTAACTGGTGATAGCATTTCATGATTCTAAAAAAGGTAATCAAATAAGTGCTATATATTCTTAAATTTTTTCTCAATAAATTTATTGATTATTACTAGACATATAACATGATGCTATCACACATCGTTTAAGTTGAAATCGTATAATTTTCATGACACAAAAATCGCTGGTCGTGTTCTTGTAGTGTTCTAAACTAATAGAAGAAGCGCTGTAAGGTCATTTCCAACCCCCTTCTTTGGCTCCAATAAAACGAACATAAAACAGGACACAAAAAAATGGATCCAAAAAAGTATCAATGAATACTGGAATGGAATAGACGCCCTATATCATTCGCAATAATTCTAAAATTTTGATGCCAAAAGAGCAAACACCGCTCTCAACCTAAGCAAGAAGAGTCTAAAGTCACTCTCTGGTGCAGAGAGATCTCTTTTCTTTTACAGAAAAGAGATAACATATATCAGACACTAATATTTGCAGATTCTACTGTGATGAGGAAGAGTCTATGGAACATCTGATCACCAACTGTGATGCACTAGGCCACAGAAGAAACAAAATTTTAGGTACATACCAACTAGAAGATGAAGATCTTCGAAAAGTCCTTCCGAAGGAGCTGGTTCGATTCCTCGTAATACTAAATATCTAAATACAAAGGGGTGCACAATAGATCAAACTGTTTGCAGTGCATAGGGGCCTTAGACTAACCCGAAAACCCCCAAATGCCATACCATACCGTACCGTTCCCGTATACACACGTGCAAAAGTACACGAAACTTATTATGAACTGTACAAATCCCCGCGTAATATGGGGGAATATCCGTGTTATATGGGGGATTGAAATCGCGTAATATGAAAACGCGTTGTAAGGGTACGGTGTTATAGGGGGATTATTGTATAGTAGTGCCTTAACTCTCTTAAGGCGCTAGAGAACGATTTCTAATTGATTATGTTCGTTATTTGAAATTTGGTTCACAGCATCGACATTTATAGCACTCATTTAGGTTTTCTGACTGATTGGATTCTAAACATTATAACACCAATCACAATACCATTTTACCCAAAGTTAAAATTCGTTAAAATTCTAATAGTTAATTTGTTAATAATTCTAATTCTTATACTGTGATTTTGCAAATTTTGTACTATATTAATGAACGAGTATAAGTATAGATATGAAAGTCAGCATCGTTAGAGCCATGTTATATGACGTATGGTTACGACACTTCTTGTTCATGACCAAAAGATATGTTATACTGAGACTTATTTACAATTGACAATTTTCTGCTTTTCTAACTATTTACACACGTTTTTTTGTGTTCTGAATTTAGTGTGAACTGCTTTTGTATTAATATGCTTACATATCGACACAAAAATACCTATAGATAATAACTCCTAATAGGCGCCATTTTTGACATTTATTACCTAGCTAAACAGTTTTAACCAACGAGTCACAGAAAGATTTGTCAAGTCACCCAAGTTTAATCGAATTTTTTTTTCTTGCTGTCATTCTCAGATTTTTAATTTATTTGAAAAACATTAATTAATAAACCATTACAATCTGCACAACATGACCCTTACTGTCGTCTTTATGGTCAGTTTGTTCGTAAGGATAACTGGGTTTGCGATATACGGCAGAAAGTCTAGACTGTTATTTTGTGTAGAGCATAGTAACGCATGATTTAACATTCTCAGAATTTATTCACAGCTGAGCCTTATATAAATTATCTATGGGTAATAATAATAAAACAAGTTCCACATTTTATTTTTTTGCTGTCTTTAATGAAGCATTCTTTTGTAACAATTTTTATTCAGTCGACTCCATGTAGCTATACTATGTACCAGTTTTGGATTGTGATTATTCTAAGGTCGTCTTTAATGACCTTCTTTCAATTTATTCCTGATTCTTTGACTTTAGTTCTTAAAAACGTTCTAGTAAATCTTTTTACTTTCCAAGATCTTACTAAATATACTCCGGTACATATACTATAGTAATACGTAAGTATAAAACGACTTTTTGATTGATTGTAAAGCGTTAGTATCTTCCAACCAACAGATATGTTGGTTGGGTGGTTGCAGTAGCAGTCCATCAGATAACTTTTCATGTACCTCAATTGGGAATTTTTGCCGTTTTGCTATCACATTCTTTGCAAGAAACTTTATGATGAAGGGTTTAAAACTATCCAGTTTCGACATATCTTTGTTCGTCAATAAGACTTCCTTAATTTCTTAATATAATATGGTATATATATGAAATATATATATTTATATTATTAAATATATATATAATATTTTTGTGAAATGTATAAATGTATATATTTAAAATGATAAGATTATTTATTTTTATTAATAGAACATCGCAAAATTCGAAATTTTTTTAGTTCCCCTGTTGCTTGGAGAAAAAATTATCATAATGGCATCACGTAATGATAATGCCCCAATTGTTGCTTAATCATATCTCAAAACTAACTGACTTTCAAAAACTTTAGGCAAATTTTGAAAAACTCTAGTACAATATAGCTACTCCCTAGGGTCTGTCAGATTCAAATTTTTTTCGTACCAGACAATTACACATTTTTTGCAGTAGAAATTATTCATGTTGCTTGAGATATTGCGCTGTACTTATTTTGTTAGAAGATTGTCATGTCGCTCTTTGTTGTTCTCCTGGTGATATGTTGTTGAGGCAAAGTTCATACTTCTATCCAATATAAAAACTTTTACTGATACTTTGTAGTAATTTAAAGCCAAAAATAATAAACAACTTCGAAAACACACATTTTTCTTCTTTTTTGATTCGTAACTGAATTTACAATAGCAAAAGTGTAGTGCCAAGTTTGGCGATGGAAGCGTGAAGCGAGTCAAATATGATTATCACTCCGAAAACTTGCGAATCCCTTTCCGGTGCTTTAGTTTTTGTACGACACTTCTGGTGTAAACATTTACAAGAGGTTATTTTTGGTGTGCTTGGCTGTGCGGAATAAGCGTTACTGGTTAGGTTAACTTCATTTTGAAAAGTAGCGAATTTTTCAGATTTGAAGGAAGAAATAAATATATTTTCTTTACAATTATAATTTGTTTGAAATAAAACAACTATTTAAATTGAAAGTTTATAAATTAATTTAAATTTTTAAAAGGACAATTATGTTTTATTGAGATGTTTGTAAAATATAACTCTTTAATCTTTCTATAATTTAGTCTCATTGGTATGTTAGTTATAAACTAATATAATGATAAGATTTTATTATTCATGTGTCCGATCCTCAAGTTATCTACTAACTAGAGCTTTGTCACTGTCATGGCTACATAACCATTTTCATGTTTATAGACCCATGTCCTTAGGTGTTGCGGTCAAGGCCAGTCACCGGAGATACGCCAGAAAAAAGTAAAAATTTTCTTTAAATAAATTTTAAAGAAAATCAATCCAAATCAATCTGCCACTCCAGGTGAATTAAGGTGATAGATGGGTCAACTGCTCTAAGCGAATCTTGCACATTCTATTTAAGCGCCAGCTTCACTATAACGTTCTGAGAGGTTCTCATACCATGGATTATACAATTTCTTTCTGTAACTGCACCCTAATCGTCAGCTGGTATAAATCTGTGTTGAAGATAACGTTTACCAAAAAGGAATTTGAACTTTGTGATATTAAATGTTTCATTCCACTTTTCGGAACAACGATTCCTAAAACGTTTTTTAAATTACGAGAAAAAGATTTTTTTTTTAATTGTATTTTGAAACAATCCAAAATTAACTTTATGGTAGACTAAGTATATGAACTCTTTTACTGAAAACTCAATTTAAGCATTTCAACGATATAAATCAACTTTTTGGTGTCCCTCGGTACTTAAATTATGTTCAGTCTGTTCTCTCTGTATATACCAACTAGAAAACGGATAGAACCGAATATAACCACGGTTTTAGTTTGACATAGATGTATGTGAATTAATTCCTTTGGATAATATTAGCAAGCTAAGCTAACTTTTTACAACTTTGAATGAAAATTAATAACATTTGATATTT